TCAGCAAATGGTCATCCAGGCTTTGCCGAAAGACCAACTAGAAGAGGAAACCCACTGAATCCAACCACACTTCTGGATAGTTCTAATTTTTAAAAAACTTTTATTCTTATATCCAACCATCAGACCTATTCATCCAGACTGAGAGGCCCCATCATGTAGTGGAAAGAACACAGGACTTGAAGCCAGCAGACCTTCATTCTAATACTAGCTATGCTACCAGGTGACCTTGGCCATGTTACTTCCGGTCTTTGAGCCTGTTCCCTCATCTGTAAAATGAGGGAATTGGATTCAATTATCTCTAAGGCCCCTTCCAGTACAAAATGCCCCCTGTTTTATGAAGCTTTACCTGACTTTCCCTCTAATCTAGAGGTTTTTAACCTGGAGTCTGTAAACTAGTTTGCATGTGTATGTGTGTATGTGTGTGTGTGTGTTCTGATAACTATATTTCAATATAATTGGTTTGCTGAGGTATTTTATTTTCTGCATTTAAAATATGATTCTGAGAAGGGGTTGATATGCTTCACCATCTGCCCAAGGTTATCTAGGAAACAAAAAAGGTCTCTTGATTCTAGTCCATTGTGATATCTTCGTCCACTGCATTGAACCTCTCTTCTGGCTCTGATCACATCTTGCTTATAGTCCATTCATATGTGTCATTTCCTCTGCTAGACTGTGATGTCCCTAAGGGCAAGGGCTGTCACATGCTTCATTGTGTCATCCACCTCACCACCACCCCCTAACCAAATGTATCTAGTACACAGTAGCTGCTAAACAGTAAGAACTCAATAAGTTAAATTGAATTGAATCTACTCATTTGGCTTCTTCTTTAGAAATTCCAGATATAAAGCCAAAAAATCTGTAATTTGGGCCATAAGCTCTCCTTCCACTCAAGTCAATGATCTGTAAGAGTTCTGTGGCTTAAAAGTTAATTTCCCCAAAGCCAACCTAATGATGATCTTCTCCTAACTTAACTAGGTTGAACTTCAGTGTAAGACAGTCTGGCATCAGGCTGCTACAGGAAGCTTCTCCAACTTAAGATCTAGACTTGATGCTAGCAGAGCCTTTCAGAATCCAGGTTCACCTCCATGTCATAATGAGACTGAAGTAGGACTTTAGTGAAAGACATGTGTGTGTATACATGTGTGTCTGTGAAAGCCATATTGAAACAAATCTGGCCGTATATGTTTCTCCACATCTGGCTTAGGTAAAACCTGAGCACAGCCTATAATCAATGTTATTTTGATTATAGTTAGTGTATACCTACATCATTTTCCTTTTCCGGGATGTGGATCATATTCAAGGACAGAATGTATCACAACTAACATGATATTAACATATATACACATACATATATATAGTCTCATCTTACCATTTCCTTTTATTGCTTTTACTTCCATATTTCAGTTTAATTAAAAATACAATGGCCTAAAGGACCTAATACTAATGCACTACACCATTTATGAATATTTATCACCCTAGGCTACATAAAACTGAATAATTATTAGCAATTAAAAGAAGGTCAGCAGAAGGCTCTCTGGCTTCAGCGACTTAAAAGAAGGCCGGGTACTCAGAGATCCACTCCCTCAGAGCCTCTTTGGCAAGTATTTTGCAAGAAGAAGGAAGCAGGTACTGGCTGACTGGCACAAACTGGTGTTGGGAGGACAGCATCCCCAAATGAAGAACAAGAAGGTTTAGAGATGAGAACACTGGCAGTGCCCCTTTATAGGCATGCAATTTAGGCCAGGAGAAAAAAAGTTTAGTGAAAAAAACGGGTTGACAAAAGAGAGTACTGTGGGATAAGCAGGACAAGACTGGCTTAGCAACCACAAATCAGACTTTGCCACCAGGAAAAACATGAAATGCCACAGACTCAAAATGATCCAAGCATGTATCATGTGGTTCTCTCCTGCTTTGGTCTCCATGAGCACTAGGCTCTAGCAATCAGTAGACTTGGAGTTCTACTCCCTCCTCTACCATTGACCTTGGGCAAGTCACTCAGCCTATGAAGGCCTCTATTTGCAGCAACATGAGGATAAAGACGCCTTTTACAAAGAATCGTTGCAAGAGTAAATCATGATAAATCTATACCAAGTACTTAGTAACTGGAATACGCCATTTCAGTGTGTGGGATTATCATAATTATTCCCATCATTCATCTGCATCGGCGTAGTGAGTATTGAATTGCAAGGCAAAGGTCAAGCCTGTTTACCTTGTCTTAGAAAGCGCCCAGTGACATCTTTCATGCACAAAGATGGCGGTCACACATCAAGGGCAGGCAGAATTTTCGAGCTGGCAGAGGCTTCTGAAGCTATAAGTTTCACCCTCCCACCATTGTAAGTTGCTTTTAAAGTAACCATAGGATAAAGTGATGCTTGATCTATTAGAGATCATCTAGACGATCTCTCTCATTTTACACACCGGAAGACAAAGGCCCATAAAGTTTTGTTGACTTGCCCATAAATCACAGAAGCAGAGCCAGGATTTAAATCCAAGGAGTCTGAGTCCTAATGTTCATCTCACCAAACCACAAGGCCTCTCAATAGATGGATTCAACAACTTCAGTTCAGTTGGCATTTTCTGAATACCTTCTCTATGCAAGGCCATGTGATTGCTGGGTACTGGGTGGTGTATAAAGAAGTATATGGCACAGTGCTTGCCTTCAAAGGACTTATAGTCTAATAAGGTAGATAAGAAATGTCTACAGATGCCTTTAATTAAAATTACAACGTAATCAATTTGTGAGAATATTGTGGAGTTCAGCAGATGAAGAGACCACTTCCAGCTGGAGTGATCAGCAATGAATGAAAAACATTTGTCATCTTTACTATGTGCCATGTTGGGGCAGCAAGGTGGTGCGGTGGATTAAACGCTGGGCCTAGAGTCAGGAAGACTCATCTTTCTGAGTTTAAATCTAGCCTCAGACACTTACTAGCTGTGTGACTCTGGGCAAGTCACTTAGCCATTTGCCTCAGTTTCCCATCTGTAAAATGAGTTGGAGAAGGAAATGGCAAACAGCTCCAGTATCTTTGTCAAGAAAACCCCAGATAGAGTCACAAAGAGTCAGACACTACTGAAAAATGACAACACACACATGTGCCAGGTGCTAGGGATACAAATACAAAATCAAGACCTTACATTCTAATAGGAAAAGCAACATATAAAGGTCTGAGTGGTATTCAGGAAGAATCCCATTTGTGCTGAGCTTTGAAGGAGGAGAAATCAGACTGAGGACCTTGGTTAGCACCATGTTTCAACCACGGAGCCAGTGAAATACAGGCCTTGTTCCCCTTTATGTGGGCTAGTTTAATAAATATACTTGGTAAAAAATGATTACTCAGCTTGAATGCTGATTGAATATTCAGGTAAACTCCCAGGCCTCAGCCTGTTTGCACCCCTCCCCTACACACACACACACACACACACACACACATACACACACCCCATATTCTTATGCAACAGTGACACTCAACAGCTCCACAGGCAGATCTGACAGGCTGGTTAATGTTGTTGAGGCATCCTGAATATTTTAAAATACTGCAAGACAGATTACCATTCATATTTTTTTTAATTTTAACTTTCCTTTCTTTTCCTTCAATCTTCTTTCCTCTACCCAGAGTTGTAAATGGGAATCCTAGCACTTGGGGAGAGAGGGACCAACCCCCAGACGCTCTATAGAGTCTCTGCCCCATCCCCATATGAGGATGCTTCCCCCCCACCAGGAATAATATAGTCTGATCTTGCTTCAGTTGTGGCAGGGAGCAAAGTAAACCCCCCTCCCGAAATCCTCAGACAAGGGACTCTGCTTTCTTGCCTTTTCTCTTTAACAGCAGGTTGAAAACCCAAATGCTAGCCCCATGGCAGAGAATACCAACCTGAGGAATAGCTATACAAAAGAGGTACAGCAAATAACCAATACTGAAGAGAAAACATTTAAGTCTGCCCCCTTCTCAGAGCTGGTCAGTGAAGATCTCATTGACTAGAAGGGAAAGTCTATTTGGTTTTACAAACAGATAGGTTTCAGGGAGGTAGGCTCCAAGGGAATCTGGAGATAACTCCTTTAATCTATAGAGAGAACACCTGGAAATCAGTGCTCCAGAACTGACTCTTAACAATGGCTGACATTTCTGTAGAACTTTTACAGTTTGCAGACCACTTTTATATAAATATCTAATTTTTCCCTTTCAACAACATAACTAGATACTACAGGTATAATCATTATTTTATAAGTAAGGAAACTGAGACTCAGAAAATTTAAGAAACTGGCCCATGACCACAAAGATTATAAGTGATGGAGACAAGAGTTCAGCCATCTTTCTGGCCTCTTTCCACCTACAGAGTAGGAATAAGTTTAATTAATTAATTAATTAATTCGACAAGCCATTACTGAGAGCTTATTACATAGGGTGCTACGTAAAACATAGATGAAGAAAGCAAAAGCACAGTTCTTGCCTTCAGAGGAATAACAAGGGAGGCAAGACATGTAAATTGATAACTTTAATAAAAACTAGAATGTTCAAAATTTAATAATATTATGAGTGTGCTAGCAACCACTTCATTTAAGGTAAGCTAAGCATTCATTCACTGTACCTGGTGGGGTGTGGCCCAGACTAGCAGGATCCCTAAAAGAGTTATAGTAGAGAAAAAAAGAAGCTCCAGATTTTTCACTCCCCAATTCACCTTGTCTTGGAAGAGGAGGGAATGTGCCAGATCCAACCTCTTCTCTTTCATTCAGTCTCCTTAGGCACTTTCACCCCCCACATTCTTATATGCCAGAGGCAAGCACTTACCGCAGCAATCCTATTTCCTTAGCACTTGTGTTTGCTACAGTTAAGAGAATCCAGGAACCATAGAAGCAGAAGAAACCAAAGAATCAGGCGACCCAGCTGTGCTACTAGTTCACTGTGTGACCTTAAGGGACCCACTTGTCCTCCCCAGGCCTCAGTTTCTTCACTTGCAAAATAATTGAACAGAATGGTCTTTAAGGTTTCTTCCAGTGCCAATATTTTATTAGTCTGTGATCCTAACCTAAATCTATTTCCTTTTGAGTTTTATTTGACTAGCAAGGGTATTGATCCAGTCCATCTCAAACTCTTACAGTCAAAATTGACCAAGGGCTGGAGTTCTCACTCCGGAGACATCCTTTTCCTCACCTCCTAGAGGGCTTTATTGTGGCAAGAAGCTCCAATACATGAATATCAAAGAGAAAAATAATATTTTCCCTCCGGTGTCATGTTTATTGTTGGGTTGGGCTTCCATCTCCCCCCCACCCTGCATTTCCTCTTCTCTCCTCCTCCTGCCTGATGCTTTCAATGATGCCACAATCCAGTCTCTGTGACTCTGGAAATGTTTCCATGGTGATGAGCAATGATGTCATAAAGGAGGGATTGTGATATGGTTGAATGAAATCTGGCTCCAGATGCATCCTGAACAGAGATTAAAGTGAGGAGAGTTTCCCTGTAGGCCTATCCCAGGGAATGGAAAACTGACATTCTGAGGGTAAAAAGTGAAGGAAAAAAAGAATTCCAGGAAGTTTCATGGTTATTTGATTGCACTTGGAAGAAGGAGGCTCAAAAGGTCCAAACAACCTAGTTAGCATAGTCTTAAAAGAAGGCATTATTAAGGTTCAGAGATCAAGGGTTACTATTACTATTACTATCTTTGAGTCTGGAAGGATCTAAATAGATAGTGGGTGCACCCCAATAGCCTTGCGTTGTTTGAGGACCATAACCAGAGCCCTTGTAAGTGTGTAACACATCCCAATAACTCCAAAGAAACAGACCATGAATTGGAGAGCTATTTCTATCACTACAACTCTCCTGCAGGGAAAGAGCCATCACCCCACCCCGAAGTTTTCTTTTTAGAGGGAATAGAAACTGACCTGCAAACTCTTCCCAGAAGGGTTCATGTTTCATGGGGCTGGGCTTTTGGGAGGTGGCCTAGTCTGAAACAAGCAGGCCTAGGGAAAAAGAAAGGCCTTCTGAAACTGGGGGAGAGACTGTCAAATAGCCTGATGGCACAGTAGCTGGAGAATTAAACACTACCTTGGTCCGAAGTCCTTGGAAATGCAGGAACAGATGCATTGCCATCAGAAAGAGCCTCCCTTGAGAGGAAAGCACAGTCGCCAGCAGCTCAATTGAGATGCTCCCTCTTCTGAAGGTGGCTGGAGACAGTGGAGTGATTTGTAGCCGGAAAGAATTGTGCCAAAGGAGTTGTCACTTTTCAGCCAAAGGGAGCTGATTAATTCCCAGTGTCCCATGGGAGGCTCTGAGAGATCCATCCTGCTCACAGTCCTCATCATCTTCCTCCTCCTTCTGTGTCTTCTCGAAGCAGGGTTACCAAACTGTAAGCTACCCTCCCCAAATATGGACAAATGTGGCTAGTCTCATGGCACATCAGAAACATCTCTACTGGGTTAGTTCACTTCACAGGAAAATGGTTTTCACTGAGCAGACTGGACCATGCATCTTTCCTTGTCTATGCAGAGATGGAAAATGTTTCTTTGATATACAAAGGTGATTCCACTAATCTGCTATCAGTTACACAAAAGGTGTGAGCAGTTTGGGGACAGTAGAGATTCCTGCACATTCCTCTTAAGGCCAAGTATTCACTTTTTTTTAAGATAACTAGCTGGATTTTTTAGATAACTAGCCCAACTAGTATTGGGCAGGAGGATAAGTAGGAGGACAGGATTATTTTTCTGAGTCTGGGTTCAGAATAGTCTGTGATTAGAGTTAATGTTCTATTTTTGATGTAGGTGGCAGTCAAAGGCCAGTGTTAAGAATAAATGTGTAGCCAAGATTAGAGGCATCTGTGGTCATGCTTACATGTTCATATATGGCCAGAATTAGGGATATTCTATTTAGAGGTTAGTTTGGGATCAGGACTAGGGACCAATGCTGGACCAAAATTATGGATCACATAGGCGCAGAGTTATGACAGTAAAACTGACCTAACTGACACATTCTGGGATGAACCCCATGACTCCTGTCATCATTAACCCCACTGCCTTAACCGCCAAACCACCTAGCTACAGTACATGTGAAAAGCCATATATACATATAATACATAGTTTTGTAACTTCATATTTATTGATACTGCTCACACCGTAATGTGGAATAATTGAAGTGGTCTGGTAGGACAACAAGTAGACTTGGGAGTCACTAAACCCCCGAGTTCTAGTCCTAGAACTCACTATGTGATCTCAGGTAAGGCAGTTCTCTCAGCGCTTAATTTTGCCAGGGAGTTGAACTGCCCCCAAAACTTGGAATTCTATTCCCTGTCATCTCCATCTCCTCCCTTCCATGGTTTCCTTCAAGCCCCAGTTAAAATACCACCTTCCACAAGAAGTTTTTCCCTATCCTCCTTAATGCTATAACCTTCCTTCTGTTAATTATCTCCATTTAATTTATGTCATATTAATTTATCCTACATGTGTACATATACATATATCACGTGTACATATTTCCCTGCACATCTTTGCATTGCCTTCCCCATTAAATTGGGAGCTCTGGAGGATAAAAACTACTTTTTTGCCTTTCTTAGTAACCCCAGCACATAGTACTTGGCAGTAGTAGGCACTTAACAAATGCTTATTGACTTGAACAAAAATCTCTAAGGTCCTTTCCATCTCTGACTCAGTGAGTTTGTCTCACTGTCTGAGGTATTTTCAACACCCCTCTGTGAGGAACACATCACATTCTGAAGGTATCCTGTTATGTTATTTCCCTAAACAGGTTAATTTATTTCTTCTATCTTGCTTTCTTAAAAGCACCTCATCCCACTTTGAATACAAAATTCACTTCACACTAGAGTTTGGTGTTATTTTGTATGAAGGATATTTTGTAAACAGAGATTGGATCCTGCCTTATTGACCATCACTATTAAAAGCTGTACCACCCAAAAGCCGCCAGCCCCAACTTGTCCAGAATACCTTAGATTCTGTCCCTGTACAAAATCCTATATTCTTTCCTTGTCTTTACCACATCCAATAGAAAGTGGTTAATTTTATTATCACGTTTAAATGCATCTCTTTGTGTCTGAACATTCTGGTATTCTGCTCATCCTTACAAATACTTAGCATAGAAATAACCTTTGAAAATGTCCTAAGGCCTCCAGTACATTTTGCTCTTCATTCAACAAGCATTTTTAATCACTTATAATATATAATGCATTGTACTAGACACAGAGTCCAGAAGATAAAAGCATAGATAAGGATTCAAAGGACACAAAAGTAAGTCATGGTCCCTGCCCTCAAATATCTTGTAGTCTAGTAAACAAAGAATTCCAATCTTAATCAAATAGATTCAGAAGAGTAATATAGAATGCTAGATGATCAGAGTTTGACATCTAGAGAGAACCTATCTAAAGAAAGGAAAAGGAGGGAAGTAGAATGTTCTTCCTTACTGAGCATCTGAAAATTATATTTTTTGATGGGTAAGGAGAAAAGGTGAGGAATGATGATGTTCTTCATTACCATGAATCTGAAAACAAACAAACAAAATTAAAAAGGAGAGAAGGGGTGGGAGTGCCCGTAGGAAGAAAAAGCTACTGCTCCATTCACCAGCAGCACACATGCACTGAAAGTCTATCTTGGTTGCTGGGCAACCAACAGAAAGCATTTCAGAGAGCAAGGGGCTAATTGGATTAATGAATTAATTGGACACTTCTCAGTTAGGTGACCACTTTATCCTAAACTATATCATCTTTCCTTCCCCTTCTATCATGTGAGTATCTAAGTGATCGGTAATTCCCTGTCAGGGAGGCTTTAAAGGGGACTCCTCATGCTGGAAAAAAGGCTGGACTGAGTGAACTCAGTTCTCTACCCGTTCTAGGATTCCATAATTCTAAGTGCTTGGGGGTTTTCAAAGGTGAACAGGGGTAGAGAAGGTTGTCATTATTATGGCAAAAAGTAAATTCCACAGTCTGGAAGCCCCAAGTCACCTAATCCGCTTTCCTACACTATCTGATGAGTTTGCCTAGTGACATAGTCAGGGCAATTAGGAAAATAACGTCTCTCTTTCTGTCAAAGACATTTGATGGTGAGTTCACATGAGAAACTGGATGCTTGGCTATCTTGGGAAATGTTACTGGCTCTCCCTTTGCCTCCTCTGGTAGGTTCCTTTAATTATAGGGAAACTCCAATAAAGGCAAGAAGGATGTGTAAGCTGACTATGAAATGCTGCAGGAAGCTGGCAAACTGTTTAATGATGTCACCCCAATGCCCTCATTCTTTCAGATAGCAGTCACTTACAGCTTATGAAGGCCACTTATAGAAGGTCACTGACACTTATGAAGGCCAAGTCTTGGGGGAAAGGCCCCAGGCTGGAAGATGTGGCCTCTAGCCTTGCCTGTGAGCAATTTGCTAGGTGACCTTAACCAAGTCACTTCCACTTTCTCTGTATCACTTTTTTCCTTTCACTGAAAAAGTAGTAAATAACCTCTGCCTTTTAATGCATAATCATTAGTCAAATATTTCTGGATCTTCCCCACTGACACCCCTTTTCAGAGACTCCTCTTCTGCCTGCTATCAACCTCTACCTGGCCCAGATCTAAAAAACCCATTCCCACTAAGGAGATTAATTTATTGCCCATCAGATTTTCAAAAAGGAGCTTGGAAAGGGCAATGTGTGCATGCTTAAATCATGCCCACCTCATTTACACAGAATCTTCTCCATCCTCCTAGCCCTCCCCTCAGCAATGCCCCACAGAAATATTTTCATATCTCTCATATAACGTTCATCCATGACATACTGTTTTTCATTATACTCATTTGTATACACACCTTTTCTTGTCTACTCTAAACCAAAAGTTCCTTTGATACAAAGATTATATTTTATTTATCTTTATATCCCCCCCACAGAGTTTGCACATACAGTACACACAATAAAAAATTTGTTGGTTAAATTCATTGGGATGAATGAGGCTAATTAATCTGGTCTCCTGCCCTCAAGATGTTAACAGTAGGGATTCCCGTCCAGATGTAAATTGAACTACATGGTCTCCAAGATCTCTTCCTACTCAGATTCTATGCTCCTGTGACCTGTCCAGGGTCATACAACTAGTAAGCATACAAATCAGGATTCAAAAACAGGTTTTCTAATGGTAAGACTAGCTCTTTCTAGTATAACATTTTTCTTTTTAGTGTGATACTCACAACAGATTTGTTGAATTTTCATTTGATTGGACCCAACATGACTATCATAAGCTTTTAGACATCACTGGGATATCATTGGGTCAATTCTTGATGTTCCAAAAATCATAGGATGTGGATAACTCCTTTTTCTTCATATGTATTAAGCCAACTCTGCATACAAATGCAGAGAACCCCATACATGCACCACCTCACTGACATATTTTTCTACCAGCCCCAGCTGCTGCAAAAAGATCAATTTTGGCCTTTTCCCCAAAATGTTATCTTCTCAGCTTTGCAAGCAGGCTAGGCTGAGGGTGGGGGTGGACTGGCTGTGAACCTCTTTGGTACCAGGTCTTTTTGTCAGGGCATGTGGGGTGTTTTGCATGATGTAATTGACTCCAGTTTCTCCCACCCATCCGTAAAAAATTCATAAGTGCCTAAAAAACAAAACAAATCCTGGAGGGGAAAAGGCAATTTTAAAATGTATTCTACTGCAGAGGCTGCTATTCCTGCAGGCATAGTAGATATTAATAATTCAACAAAATATTACAGTAATTACTATACTTTGCAATATCACAACAGTGCACTTTAGCACAACTCCTACAAATCTCCTTGCAACTGCCATTAATAAGTAAAATGCAATTCACCATATTAAATTTGTTGTTTAAAAGCTAAATATTTCATCAGAACTAATATATTTTAAATAATCAGCCAGGACCACTGAAATCCCCAGCCCTGCATTTCTCCCCCTTCAAATGAAATTACATCGTAAGCATTCAATCAGAAATTGAGTTCAACTGTAACATTTATATCCTGACTATTAAGACTCAAAAGTTCCCCTTTGGATGGACCTGGAATATACTCAGCAGTTGGGCACAGTCAGCGCCTGATTAGGCTGCTATAGAGACATGATAGAAGGGAAATACGAAGGGAAGATTAGCTGTATTGGGCCCAGGTGATTGGCTAGCTCTTCTAGCTTCGAGGAAAGATCCCCATAGATTTTAAGTAGTGGATAGCAAAGGAACTTCAGAAAGGATACGAATCATTGAACCTTAGAGGTGGAAGGTACTGCAGAGATCACCTAGTCCAAATGTGTCATGTTACAAAGAAGTCCAGAGGAACAAAGCGAAATGACCAAGGTAACACAGCAAATTAAGAGTAGAAGCCAGATGGATTTAGGTTTTCTGAATCCTGGTCTGGTGCTCTCACCCTTGCAGCAGGCTGCTTCTATGTGCCTCAGGCTAGCATTTCACATGTTAGTGTTTATTCTAGATGGCTATTGTAGTGGCTCTCAAGCCCAAGGTCTCAAGCTACTAGGTGCTACAAACATTCCTGAATGGGGCTAGGGAGGAGAGGTGCACATAAAGAAGATTCCTGGTAATGCAGGGTTGGTTCAATATTAGGAAAACTATCAGCATCATTGAGCATATCAACACCAAAACCAGCAGAAACCACATGATCATCTCAATAGATGCAGAAAAAGCTTTTAACAAAATACAACACCCATTCCCATTAAAAACACTAGAAAGCATAAGTATAAATGGAGTCTTCCTTAAAATAATAAATAGTATCTATCTAAAACCTTCAGCAAGTATTGTATGTAATGGGGACAGGCTAGAAGCATTTCCAGTAACATCGGGGGTGAAACAAGAATGTCCATTATCACCACTGTTAATTCAATATTGTACTGGAAAAGTTAACTTTAACAATAAGAGAAGAAAAAGAAATTGAAAGTATTAGAATAGGCAAAGGAGAAACAAAGCTATCACTCTTTGCAAATGACATGATGATACAGAGAATCCTAGAGAATCAAGTAAAAT